GCTCTCGTAAAACTACCGTAAGTGTCTCTTCTCTTCCTCCCATGCATTGGATGTTTCAAAATATTTATCTGCCAAGCTCACTGAATATTGAATACAATTGATGTCCTCCCTTGATGGTACACCCAGCAAAGCTCAGCTACTCTTCTGGACACTCTGTGGATGATTTCTGCTATCTCCAATTCTCAGTGCAATCATTTAAGGTATGTGGTATACCCATGGCTGACACTGAGAAAAGTTAATTTACCCAATATCATCCCACTAAGTGGCAGAGTCCGGACTAGAACTTGTGTCATCCTGACTCTAAATCCTGAATTCAGATATTGTGATCGGATTACTCGCAACTCAATCTTCAGCACCGTTCTATAATTTTGGGGTGGGGGTAAGAGGGTAAGGGACTTGGCCAAAGGAGAGGGCCGATAAGAAACAAAGCCAGGCCACATCCAGGTTGGTCTCTGTTGTGCCATTTCTGTTGCATCCACTGCCTAAAATAATTTATTTCCCCATTTTCATTAATCAAAGACCTCTATCAATCAAAGCCACTCAGAGTCTTTTGAAGCTTCCAGTTAGCATAAGATAACACTCTAGATTGCTCTGGTGACAACCAAAAGCAAAGAAAACACTCTAGATTGCTCTGGTGACAACCAAAAGCAAAGAAATTCGATAAATAGTCTGCACAGCCGTAGTGTGGGTAAATGGACGGTTTCCATTAGGTTCTAGAAATAACAGCTTGCCCATCCGCATACCTGCTTGGAATCCTCTGAATTGCTCAACACCCACCACCCCCACCCTCACGCAGGGGTTAGGAGGCCATGACCCCTTTGGTGTTGTCTGGGAGAGAAAGAGGTGTTTCTACATAAGAAGCACCCACTCAGGAAGAGTACCAGATGCAGTCTCTCCCTAGCAGGAAAGCTATACTTTCCTCTGAAAGTGTATCTATCTATCTATCTATCTATCTATCTATCTATCTATCTATCTATCTATCATCTATCTATCTGGACATCTTCCTGGTGGCTTGTGGGTTCAGCCTGTACTCTCTGCAAGTGTCCCGGGTTGGGGGAGGGAGGAAAGGAGCTCAGGGGAATCATGGGAATTCACCAGCCTGCACCGTGGAGCTTCCTGGTCATAGTCTATGATTTTCTATCTTCCAAGGTATGCTTTGGCTCAGATGACAAACGTATTTTTCCCAGCTTGTGCCAGTGTTACTGGTTTAATATGACCTTTGAGGGTAAGTTCCCAGCAGTAGTTTGCTGGTGGAGAATAAAACCAGGATTACAGATCTGATTTGCTTCAGCTGGTTCCCCTCACGAATATTCTGGAATTGAAAGATGCTGCTTCCCCACCTTATTTAGTAATACACTCTGGTGTTTGAAAATTTAATTTATATAGTGATTTTTATCTGAAGCTTGAGTTTACAGTAGGAGGGATTTACTTCTTTAGCTGTCTTGGGGGGGAGCAGCAAGCAGTTGCCTATACAAATTCCCTTCCTTCAGGTGTTCAGTGCACTTTGAGTCATCTAGTTCCCAGATCCAAATCCTTGCTCAGAGTAGCTTTTTTAAAAAAAAAGGTTTTTCGAACAGACATTTTTATCTGTTAGTTGCCCTCTGCTGGACTTCCTCCAAGTTCTTCTTGACTTGAGGCCCGAGAGCCCAGAATGGACACCCAAGGGCCACCAAGGCCTTCACTAAAACGGGGTGGTTGGGGATGTGGCCCTTGACCTTCTGGCATATCCATGAAACCCTAGTCTGCTGGTTGCTTTTTTCATGACCTCAGAAGACTGGTGGATTCATTTAGGGAGCAGGACGAGCTGCCCAGGTGGCCTGCATCATTTGAAAAGGCTCATTTAAGAGAAGAGTTGAAAGAGTTGATGTGAGGGGGTGAGCTAAGCTCTCAGTCTCCGGAAATTCTGCTCAACAACACTATTTCTTGGGGATCCAGTGGAGGAGTGCTTGGGCGGCCATCTCGCTTATTTAAGACAGTTGAAAATCAGCTTCCAAAAATGGGAGGAGAGGGGACCAAGGGAGGAGGGGTCCTGTGCACCCTAAGGCTGTTGCCACCAGGGATTCCTGTGCTACAGTCCCTCTTGTTCTGTGTTCACCTTTCTGGCGTGTTCCCTGCACGCCCCCAACGGGAGTGTCTGCACCTCGTCTGTCCTGGGGTTGCTGCACCGCTGGGGCGGTGAATACTTGGTGCCTTCTCTGGACCTCCTTTATGTCCCTGTCTCCTAGCACAGTGTCTGGTATGTGATAAGTGTTTGGTAAATGGAGCTAAAATAGAATGTCTTTTTTTTTTTAAGATTTTATTTATTTGAGATATAGAGGGAGTGAATGAGAGCGAGTGAGAGAGTGCGCGTGAGAGCTCACGAGCAGGGGCAAGGCAGACGCTTAACCAACTGAGCCCCCCAGGCACTCCTAGAATCTCTTTTCTTCTCAGTTCTGTCTGCCCTGAATCTCTCTGAATTTCAAGTGTCAGCACTAAAAGCCTTGTTGTCGAGACAGTCTCTTATTCCTTCTCTTAACGGACCCGGTATTTTGTTTCTGGAACATTTAGTATTTCCTTCTGTGAGTTATGATTTTCTACCTTTTTTTTTTTTTTTTAATCAGAGAGAGTGAGTGAGTACAAGCAGGGGGAGCGACAGGCAGAGGGAGAAGCCGACTCCCTGCTGAGCAAGGGAGCCTGATGCAGGGCTCCATCCCAGGACCCTGGGATCTGACCTGAGCCGAAGGCAGACGGGCAGACGCTTAAGGGACTGAGTCAGCCAGGCGCCCCTGATTTTCTACTTTTAAATGTTAAGTACATTGACTCTTCCTTTCCAGATTGTAAACACCGTGAGAGCAGGATCCTTCCTTGATTCATGTCTTTATGGTCCATGACCCACAAAACGATGCCTTACACATAATAATAATAGTGGCAATTACACACAGCAGCTCATAGGCGCCAGGCACTGTTCTGCATACTTCACATATGTTCATTCTTTAATCTTTGCAACAGCTTTATAAGGTAAGAACTATCATGAACATGTACCTCCCATTTTGTAGGTAAGGAAAATGATGTTAAATCATTTATTCAGGGTCAGATACCTAGCGAGCAGAGGAGCTCAGATTCAGTCCCAGACCGCATATTCCAGAGTCTAGACTTAATTGTTGCCTGATGCTGCCTCCTGTTGGCATACGTGCCCACGGAAAGCATTACATAAATATTTGTAAAGTGCATGCAGGTTGGTGTTTCTTGGTTATTTAGAACCAGTAAACCATTTGAAGTTGATATATTGGCTCTTTCATCTTTACCATCTGAACTGCTTCCTGAGCGATGGGAAGGCCAAAAGGGGGCACCAGAGGGTTGGTTCTAGTTCGGGTTTCGGAAGTGCTGGATGGCTTCGGGTCTGGTTTGGAAGTCAGCAGTGCCACCTAGTGGGACAGCTTGCTAATAGCAGCTCAGAATTATTTTTATGAAACCGTGGTACATCGTCACTTAATTCTGGGAGCCCCTTGATTCACTTTAAGTTTTGATAGCCAGAGAGAGGGTAGGGTGAGAAGGAGGAACCAGATGAAATGGAGTCAAGCCAAGCCTCTTCTTTGAAGATTATGTAATGCTGATCCTGGTCCTCTGGGTTGGTTGAGTGCCATTGGCTGTTAGGGTAAAAACACTAGGCTCCGGACCCCTTTTCCCTTCACTTCGCCTCACGTGTGCAGCCGGTGGTATAGACCGTAATGCTCACCCGGTCTGCTTTGGAATTTGAGCTCCAGTCAGCTGTGGGTGGCCTGCCCTAGTACAACATGTATCCCAGGTTCTGTAGGAGACTCGGTGCCTGATGCATTATAACAAGTCAGTCCCAGCGTAAGAAATCCCACGGGTCAGCAACACCATAGCACAATTTTGTGAGAAGGAGTTTTTAATAGGCAAGTCTTTGAGACCTTGTGAAGCCGGGGGGATAGGAGGAGGGAGCTGCTCCACGGGGACAAGAAGCAAAAAAAAGTGCTCCTCATAGAGTAAAGGAAAGAGAAAGGACCTGTGTACACACTTTGGTTCTGCCAGGCAATTGGAGGCTGTCTGTGTTTGGTGCTCTTCTGATTTCCGGTGTATATATGTGTGAAGATTTGATACAAGTTTCTTCTAAGTTCATTTATTTCTTTGTGAAAGAACAGAGCCTAAGAGCATGGTTATAACCGTGTACCACAAAAAGTCAATCATTTAAAAAAGCAAACATCATTCTCAAAGGGCTGTACAAAGAAACAATGGGCAGCTTCAGATTTGGCCTGGTGTGTGTGTTTGGGGGGGGCTAGAGTTTATTGACTTCTGATCGGACGCTTGGATTAGTTAATGAATAACAATAAAAATGATATGTTCCTATGTTCAGTTAGCATCATAAGGTGCCTGAGCAAAAGGCTTTTCTTCCTCTCAAGTAAGATGAAAGAGGGGTGAATTCCACATAACTTCCACGAAAGCATTTTAAAGAGCAGAGCTCTGAACTGAAGGCCTAGAATCAGCTTGCCTGCAGGGCATTCAGGAGCGGAGGGACTTCCCTCAATCCCTCCTCCATCCTCACCCTCCTCCGCCTTCCCGGGAGGCAGAGAAGCAGGCCAGGTGACCTCTGCCCCCATCAAGCCTTTTCCCTGCTGGAATTCTCCCCTCCCTCCGGGTCTACCTGCCTCTTGAGAGTCTCCGGGGAGGTTGAAGAGGAATGGGATTGTTATCCTGCCCTACAGATTAAGAGGCCGGAGTATAGAAAAGTGCTGGAGGCGTTTGCTCCCTGAGACTTTGTAGGCAAGGAAGAATCAGGCAACAGGTCAAGACCTCCCTCCTGTGCCTCAGATGTGACGGGTGGAGTTTGCACCAAATTTGTGTCATTTCTCATGTCCCTTGCCTGTCAGTACACCCTGTATAAAGTCACCCACGGGGGAACTTGTATCTTTGAAATTTTGTAACCCGGTTTCTTTGTCTCGATGACCTCCCCCAGTGTTGAGAAAGAAGGTAACGGTTCATATCCTGTGTCTTGTCTTCAGTAGCCAACAGAGCAGCCATGATGATGATTCAAGCAGGTTCCTGAGTCCTCGAGCGTGGGAAGAAAGGTAAGGCCAAGTGAGGAGGGAGCGGATGGGGCGAAATGTGTGGGTACGGTCGCCCTTCTAGCCCGGGGCGGGGGGGGGGGGAACTGGGGGCGAGGGGAGGGAGGCAGCAGGCTGCCCGAGCTTGTGCTCCGACCGGCCAGAAAGACAGGATGTTCACCCAGGAAATGAGAGGACCGCGTCTAAGGGCGTCTGGTGTTGGGAAAGGAGCAGAGTGGGTCTGTGGCAAGCCAGAGATACTGGGACACCCCGAGAGCGGGTGTGGCTCGAGGCACATCTTAGCGGCTGCATGCGGTGTGGACGGTGCCCGAGGAGAGCTGAGGGGTTTGGCACTGCGCGTGTGACAGTGGATGACAGAGCACGAGAACAGGAGCGGACTGCAGGTGCCAGAGGTGAATGAGGGTGGACAGGCAGGGGGCAGTGAGCATGAGGAGGCTCCGAAGTGCTCGCTGGAGGATTCGAGGGGCGACTAGTTCCAGGATGTGAGGACGAGCCTCTGCTCTGTGGAGTGCCCGTGTGTGGTAGCCGGAGGGGGCTGTAGTGGCGGGTGAAACGTCGGTGCCCGCGGAAGTCGACTGGGCCGATGTTAACGAAGAGGAGGTCTCCGTGGGCATGCCACGGGGCTCTGCTGTTGGTCTAGCTCTGGCTACTGCTTTTGTCAACTGGGTGAGGAAGGAGAAGGTACTTTTACATCATTTATCTGACTTATTGCAGACACTCAGCTGGGGGGGAATAGAGAAGACTAAGGTTCACAGACTCGGGACTGAGTATTTCAGATGGAGCAATGGGTGCAAACGACAAACTTTTTTAAAGGAAGGGTGCTATTATATTTATATTGTGTACTTATAAATCTATTATTAGAATAGTTTTTTTTTTAAGATTGTATTTATTAGAGAGCGAGCACAAAAGCAGGGGGAGCAGGAGAGGGAGAAGCAGGTTCCCCGCTGAGCAAGGAGCTGGATACGGGGCTCGATCCCAGGACCCTGGGATCATGACCTGAGCTGAAGGCAGGTGCTTAACAGCTGAGCCACGCAGGCGCCCCCCTAGAATAGTTTCTTAAATGTAGGATTACCACAGGGAGCCTACCTTGACGGGATTTTGTGTGAAAAAGAACTTGGGGGTTTTATTTACTGGCAAAATATGAGCCAGTAATATGACAGCCCAAATGATCTTTTGAAAGTCTGAATTCGGGGCGCCTCGGTGGCTCGGTCGTTGTGCATCTGCCTTTGACGCAGGTCATGATCCCAGGGTCCTGGGATCGAGCCCCGCATCGGGCTCCCTGCTCGGCGGGAAGCCTGCTTCTCCCTCTCCCACTCCCCCTGCTTGTGTTCCTGCTCTTGCTGTTTCTGTCAGATAAGTAAGATCTTAAAAGAAAAAAGTCTGAATTCGCCCTTTAAAAAGAGACAAAGATCTCACTGGTCTGTACTACTTTGACCATATGTGATGTATCATGTCCAGTTCTTTGGAAATAGATATTGATAAATTAGGACTCCAGAAAGAATGGTTGAGAAAGTGGCTTAATTTGGAAAAGAGAAGGTTTGTGGTGACTGCAAACACCACTCTTCAAGTATCTGAAAGCCTAAGAAGCAGAGCCAGAGGCAGAGAGGTGGTCCTAGGGAGGAGCTTTTCAGCTCAGGATAAGGAAGACTCTGATTACAGCAGAGGCCTTGCTAAATAACAAACTATCCCCTCTGTGAAGTGTTCAAGCAAAAGCTAGGTGGTGTGCCATGAGGGGATTCCCTCCTGGGCAAGAGCGTGGGGCCTCTGGAATCCTTGTACAGATCTCTTTACATTATCAAGTTGTGTAGTTCTGCCCCAGTTCTCAAGTATCAGTTGAGCTCATCAATTCAAACAGAGCAGATAGAAGGCAAAGGGCCCCCGGGGCAAAGACTAATTCTTGTCGAGCTGCTTAATCAGTTAGGATCTGATGGCAGTTCCGTCTGTCTCTGGAGTGGCCTACCCTCCCTTTTCAGTGCTTTCTGGAATTCATCCACCATACTCGCAAAATCAGAAGGGGCCCTGGAGTTCCTTCGGTACGACTGCCTTCCCTGTGCTCGGGCGTCAGACATCTGCCGGCGCGTCCTGTCCACCTCTGGTCATGATGTCTTCAGCTGGTCCTTGTCCGTCAGCTCTCCGACTAGCACTCCCCAACTCTCAGCTAACTCTCAGCTGCTTGGGAGCATTCCTAGGAGCGAGGGAATAAGGTGGTGAGTTGTAGGCTCTAGGTTTTTCCCAAGGCAACTTCAGTCAATTCTTCCTCCAGGACAGGACTGCTGGACAACTAGAGAGAGCCCTGCCTTTTGTTTGCTCTTCGGGATTGTATGTTGACATAAGTTCTCTTCTAGCTCCTTCTCTGCCCACTTCCTCAAACAAATGAAATGTTACAAAAGGTCTGCAGTCCAAACCGCCGCCCAGAAAAGTCCTCTAGATGTCTTCGCTGGTCCTTCCCGTCCCTGGCCCCCTGGCAGCCCCCTAACTCTTCATGGTGGACAGTGGATATAATTTTGCATCAGCTCACCTTGGGCAGTACAGGAAACAAAGCTCTGATCAGAAGTACGCTTCCCGTGGTAGTCCCTGTGGACCCCTGCCTCAGAAACTCAGGACTGGTACATGTTCACCATGGCTATTCTGAATGAAATCTTTTTTTCTCTTCCTCATCCAGTTGGCTCGCCTGGAGAGAACAGGTCCCCAGAGTGCTAATTAATCACCAGCCTCAGTTCAGAGCAAACCCTTACACTCTGCCCCTAATCCTTTCTCTAATATGTTTTTACCCAATTCAAGAGACTCTCTGGGGCATTTTGGATGTTGGTCTGTGTTCTCTTGGCCTGGGGCAAGCGTGGATCCAAACCCTGGGGAGATTGTCAGCAGTGGTGGGGGTCGGGCTTCCGCTCCTTGCTCTGGGCCCCCATTTGATGGACAGCGCGCTCCCCCTGGTTACAGCGGCATTTCCGACAGAGGCGAGGCCCTGTGTGATATCATTTAGTCTCACAACTCCCCTGGGAGGCCGCTGAGCCAGGTATTATGGATTGAAAATGGTCAAGTAGGGGGTAGGTAACATGGACCCGTTTCTGTGGTTGCTCCTAATTCTCCAAACCACGTGGTCAACTGTAGGATGAAGGACAGTTTCATAGAGCAGGCAGAAAAAAAAAAACGAACATCGATTTCTTCTGTTTTAAAGATAAAAATTCTGACCCTTCATTATGATGTACACTTCAACCGGTTAAATAAAACACTGATTTTTCTTTTTCTTGTACAAGGTTCAGAAGAGATAGAATATTTAGAGACAAACTAGTGCCCTATTATAGTTTAACAAATGTCCACATGATAGATAGCAAAGGGGGAGATGCCTCAGTATCGCGTCCAAACCTAAGGGCTTCTGACAGTTTTCCTCCTCATTCACATCAATGTTGATTCCTGAAGGAGAAAGCCTTTGGGACCATAATAGGGGCAGGCAGTGGGTGGATAGATGGGTGCAGGGAGGCAATCATTTCCTGGGCAGGCATGCATCAAGAAAAGTTGATTTCAGGAAGAGAATCAGAAATGAGGACTGTCTCAGAGATAGGAATAATTCCCTCAGGTTTCCAGTAGAAAGCAGAATAGACCCACCTTCTCCAAAGTCTGTGTGTGCGTCATTGAATGTGGGACATAAATCTATTTTCATGCTTCTAGGTAAAGCCAGGGATACGCTTAAAAGACACTGGCTCCCAGGTTCAGCCCAAACTGGACCAACTGTCAGAGTTTCTCACGTTGCCAGATCTTTATTTAGTACCTTTGCTCAATGGCAGGAACTATCAAACAAAGCCAGAGCTATAGAAGAAGGAGCTGTTTCACTGAGGATGGTTTATGTACACAGTGTTAGTTTCAACAGAACTTGGTCCCGGTTGACCAGGAAGCCTTCCAGTGGCAGGAGTATTGAGACCCGGGCAGGGCTGGGTTGTAACCAGGCCCCAGGGCTGGGCTGCCTGCCTTCTTGTATCCGTTCCTGCATGCAGGTATGTGTGCCCCAAACCTTCGTTAAGTGTCTGCAAGATACTGGGGAGCCTGCTGGAGTCCAGGCTGCAAGATGTGTAGAGGCTCAAGGGCACCTGGGTGGCCCAGTCCATTGAGCATCTGACTCTTGGTTTCAGCTCAGGTCATGATCTCAGGGACATGAGATCGAGCCCTATGTTGGGCTCCATGCTCAGCGGGGAGTCTGCTTCTCTCCCTCTCTCTCCCCCAGCTTGTGTGCACTCTCTTTCTCTAAACTAAATAAATAAATGTAAAAAAAATAGAATAAAAAGATGTATAGAGGCTCACTGCTGGTGGGCGCCCTGGTGTACTAGAAAGAGTGAAATCCTTGAAGTCATAACAGACTTAGGATAGACTCCCTTCTTCCTTATTAACTGCATCTTTAAATACAATTTACTCACCTTTACTCAACCTCAGTTTACTCATTTGTACAAGTCTTTCCTGGAGAGGAATAAATGAGATAACATGTGTAAAGTGCCCCGTTCTTAGTAGGTGCTTAGTAAGTGGTAGCTGCTATGATGCTATCATTAGATTTCACTCTTTCTTAATGGATCTATACTCTGCTGTTCTTGAAGAAGCAGAGACAGAGAAAACGTGTAGAGTATTGATCACCTGTAAAGTGTCAGATGTGGGCACTAAGGATAAACAGATGAAGGCATAGGATTTCCCCTTGAGCATCTTACTGTCTCCTGGTGAGACACCAGGAGACATAGCTATAAGTAAGCAAGTATAATAGAATGTGATAACGGACGTGGAATTTCGTATGAAGTAATAAAACTAAAGAATTTGGTCACTGAGGTGCCTAACCCTGTGCGATGAATCTTGCATACGCTTTGAAATGTAATCCTGTCAACGTTGCTATCAAATAGGCGCTATTATTATCTTTATGTTAGAGTGTAGGAAACAGAGGCTCTGCGGAGCTACCGGATTTGTCCCAAAGTAGCACAGCTACTGTGCTTGGGGCGAGGGCAGGGGAGAGAAAAGAGGGGGCCGAG